TTTTTTACGTTAATTCTTCATTATCATTGTTAACCATGTACCAACGCTAAGTAGCTACATTTATCTACAGATATAACAATGTCATCAAAGACGCATTATAATCTAACGTAAATTCGTTAGACCAAGGGTATTTTTTTTATCATTATTGCGGTCAAGCTGTTGCTGCTGTAAATGCTTTGAAGCCTTTCTCTTCTCCTTCTGTCTTTATCCAAAGAAAAAGGAGGAAGGATATTTCGAAGCATTTGCAGTGACGGCTTAACTTATATATTTAACTTATATATTTAATTACATCAAAATCGATTCATTTTTCGCTGGAGAATGGTTATTTGTATATCACACAATCTTACTTACGACTTAACTCGCAGTACACGATCCCACGATGATTTAACAACGAAATTGAGATAGCCACGTACGAAATAAAATAATAATATCTAGGTACACGTCGGACTGAAATCTCGATCCGAGATCTGGAACAAGGGTTATGTTTATCACAAAACATACGTTCATCGACATGCACACTTATGAAACTTCGGTTTACGCGCACCGAGTATCATACTAGAGCACGTTCATGAGAATGCTCACCATGTGTTAAACAAGGATAGTAGTAGAATGATACGCTGGTAGATAAATGAGTTTGTTGGCTCCTGGCTCCAGTCCGGATCCAATACGGCCACGTCTAACCATAGTCGTGCGAATGATACGCTGGGAATACTCGGATGATGTTTCTGAACGTACTCCTAGCGGTTCCCGATGGCGTTGCCGTTGGCTGCTGCGTCTCGACCAATCAGAGAACAGCGGTTGGCGATGGCGGCTCGCGGCTTCAGAATAGCCGGACATCTATTGGTCTAGTAGCATCGGCAACGGCAGACGCAACGGCCAATGCGAACCGCTAGTGTAATACGGCCATGATCCTTACAAAGTCGATAATAATGTCTTCATTATCGACTGTCTAAGGATTTAGATCGATAAAGAGACACGGTGTCGCTGCGCGTTCACGGCGCGTTCACGGCGCTTATCATATCAACCACGAACACCGAACGGGATGGAGGTCGACTTGGACAACACGTAAGTACTAGTAATGGCAATAATATTCTTTTCTCTAACCTAACAAGATTTTTATTGCAGCACGGACGACCAAATATTGGCCGACGCTATGGCCAAGGCGGAGATGCACAATAAAACAGCATCTCCGCCCGGTCGCGCAGTGCTGCAGTTACTGCAGTCGCCACCGCCACCGCCGCCACCGGGGCCTCCGCCGCCGCTACCGGGACCTTCGCCGCCGCCACCGGGGCCTTCGCCGCCGCCACCGGGGCCTCTGCCGCCGCCACCGGGGCCTCTGCCGCCGCCACCGGGGCCGAAGGAAAACAATCCGCCGCCGTCGTCTTCGACGACTGATAGACCGCGTAAGTCTGAAATTCGCGTAAACTACACGACGGTCTCGCTGTGCGCGGTTCTACCTGCGCTTACTGTGCTTACACTTGATGCGAGACTATCGTGTATATATTTCGATATAATATGTATATATTGTGTATATAATATCGATATATATTTCATTACTATAAAAATTCTTTGTTACATTACAGCAAGGTGGTATCGAGCTGGGCGTGGGCGGAAGGCGGATCGCGGCGGTAGCCACAATCGTGGCCGTGGCCGTGGCCGTGGCCGTGGCCGTGGATTTCCGATGAAATATAACAATATTTACTTCTATTGAGCAGGGGGCTCGTAAAAGTGAGAGGAGGGAACCCCCCCCCCTCCCCACACACACGCGCGCGCGCGTATTATTGCATATATATGGTGGATGTTGCGATAGTACTCT